AAAGAAATACTAAAGGAAACAAGAATGAACAGCAGTGAAAGCCACACAAAGACCCACTATCCTTTCCACTTTTACAAATCAACTGAAACTGTAGATCAGAAGAAAACCCACAAAAACCTAATTTCTTGATTGGATCTAACGTTCAAACGAAGCAAAACGATTGTGTCAGACACGTGAGCAGGGCTGGCCACCCTGCCTCCACACTAGTCAAACTTGGATAGTGGGTCTCTGAGGTGCTTTCACACTGGAAGACAACATTGGGTCCTAAAAAAAACAAAAAAAAAAAACAAAAAAAAGAAGGATAAAATGAACATAAATTTGAAGAGTGAAACATGAATGCTATGGACAAAGACAGAACAACACCAAAAAGGTCAGAAAGGAATGATGAACATTCAACTTTCTGAAAACAGACATCACAAGCTTCCACCTTTGTCTTATATTTATAAACACATATTTAAGTACTTGTGACCAGCCATTGCTGACTCTGAAAACCCCTGCAGCTCATTCATTTGAAGAAAATGTTTCTTCCTAAGGAAAATTTCTGTCATGTGAACTCAACACAAGGTCAAGTCCTAAGTTTTTTTTTTAGAGGCAATGGCAAAATTCCCTGAGACTTCAACAAAACCAGAATCTCTCCTGAGAAACTTCTACTGGGACATTAGAAAAACAAATAAAAACGAAACTTGTAAAGAAAAATATCATTGGAATTTATTAATATCAGCACATAAAAGCTAATCTGTTCAATTCTGCTTGAGCCTGAAAGAAATTAAAATCTTGCCTCTAGTCTCCATGGCACAGGAGGGACCACACCCCTCAGAATCCAAGGGCTACATGGTCTGAAGAGGGACACACCTTGTGGTCAATTCCGAGACTATTCCAGACCCCAGGATTACAACCTGGAAGTGTTATCAAGCCTGACTGACATTCACCAAATAGTTTTAGAAATACAAAGTCACTATGTCACTATGAAGTAAGGGATTGATTTTGTATTTGATCTTTGGTAAAAGAGGTAAAATTCTGGAGCTGTTGAGTAAGTCTTAGAATAAATCATTAATCCTCGTGTGTTAAAATATTAATGTGGAACTGGAGCAGGCAATACCTCAAAGCCACTGCTACCATGAACTGTTACTCCACAAAGAGAAATTACTTGGCAAGCACTAGAGAATTTCAAAATGGGTTGTCCATACACAGACACAGAAATGCACTGGCCATGAGCATGTCACTTCAGAAGTTGTTTTTCCACTATCAACACCCCTGAAAGTGAGTCAACTTCATCCACCAGACAGTGTGGACAGGAATTACTAAAGATCTTTTGTGCATGGAAATCAGCTTTTCTGGAAATACAGATCCTTGTTGCAGGACTTGCATCATGTCTCCAACATGTCACATCTACAAGTAAGGTTTGGGGAAGATAAAAATGAGGTAGCTCTAGAGATATTACTACAAACAACAACCTGGAGCTCAGGCCTGAGCACCTGAAGGAGTGACTGACATGTGAGGAACTGCAGCAGTGCTGGGCTATGGAATGCAGAAAGAGTGAACAGAAAACAGTCACTACACATAGATTAGAAGGAACTGGCACAACATTCAGCTCTGTGAGTCTCATGGGATGAGACACCTCAGGATAAACCAGAAGCCTCTCTGCACATGGAGCACAAGTGTGCCCACCTGGATGAGCTGTCCAGCCCTCAGCAAGAGCATCTGAGGGATGAACTGATCTGTAACACTAGAAGACACCTGGCAACCAAGTATGCAGGAGCAGCTGTCTTCCCTCCTTACACTTCTCTCCCACCTAACCCACCTTAAACATCCCTTGGGAAGAATGGGAAGAGAACCTGGTAGATGTGTCCTTGTCAGACTCTGGTAACATAGAAAAGATGAGACCCTTGAGATTTAATGGCTGAGTTTACCTGAGGGGAGAAAACATCAACTAAAGAAAACAAAAGGACAAAGCTCACATTGGTCCCATGGATAAGATGACAAACTTAAAAAGGTATCTCATTGAAAAAGCCAACAAATAATAAGAGAACAAGTTTCCAAATGCAAAGCAGATGAAGACGGGCCAAAATAAAATTATCTCCAGACCAGGCCACTGGGAAGAACTGTGAAGTGATCAGAGCACCATGCCTACCCCCCTAACACATGTCTTGGAACCGACGGGAAGAGAACCTGGCACTACACAGGTACTGGCAACACACAAGATCTGACCTTGCATGGTTGTGCAAACACTCAAAGAACAGAAGACTGATTCTTTATTTTAAATCTGTATTTTGAAACCTGCTGAGTACCATACTTATTATTTATGATGGCTTCTGTGCAAACATTAGAAAAATGTCATTAAAACAGAAGCAAGTCTAACCACCACCATAGTCACCAGGAACATGACACCACTGTCCTGTGTTCTGCAACCACCATGTGTTTAAGAGAAACACTCAAACCTACAATACCCTGAAGTCATTTTGTATTTCTTTTTCTTTCCTTGCAGGGGTCCTATGCCAGGATGTGCAGCTACACCAAGAGGAAAAAAGGTTTTGTCAGCTCCCTCTTTGCTAGGGAAGTCTGCCATTATAGCAACAACTAATAATTCCCAGAAAAGACTCCAGCTACAAAGGAGTATCTGGGGGAAAAACAGAATTTTCATAAGCCACAAACTTATTTCAGTAAACCAAATTTGCATTTTCCCTTTCCAATACCATTATACTTGTTCTAGAAAATACAGCAGCAAAACTGCTATTATTCAACAGAAGCATTATAATACTCAGATCAGCAGTTCTTAAAAATGCAACAATGCATTTTTAAAATTATAGTCTGTCATATCTTAAAGCTGTTCTGTAGAGGGCTACATCAACATTTCTGTGGGACAATTCCTTAGTGATTTTACAAGAAAAGTTGTGACAGTTTCTGCACTCTGTTTAAACAAGAGCAAAAAAATATTGCAAGGAAACCCAAGAAGTTTGGAAGTTCATTCAGGACATATTTAAACATTCCTCTGATTACAGAAGAGGTACAGAATAGTGGCTTACTGCTCACACAACTGACCAGCAGCAGCAGCCCAGCTGAAATCTGGGAAATGGTATTTGAACAGTGCTGTGCTGGAGCTACTGAGCCGAACTGGGTTTGGGCTTGAGGCAGGATTTTTCCTCAAGTTTCCAAATGCTTCTATCACAACAGAGTGGCAAAGGCCAGCAGAAAACTAGTGTGTAACTTAGCTTATTTGAAATACTGAGAGAATTTTAAAAAATGAGAATAAATTCAACATACTCTTTGTTCATCAGTAGGTGGATTTTGTAGAACTGCTTTATAGAGTAGTTCTTAGAGAAAAGTTTAATGGCCAGGTACAGATGACCTGGTGCACATCTGCACATCATTAGTCTTTGTCAAAAGCCAGTTAGATGTGGATGGAAAATACTCTTATTCCACATCATTGAAATCTGAGGAAAAACTTAATGATGTATCAGCAAACAATGAGAAAAACTTACTCATCATCCAGAAAGCTCCCAATTGCAGCGTGGTCTTAGCACAGCTTGTGCTGAAAACCAGTAGTTTATGTGATTACACTGCACTTGTCACATTCACCACCTAACTTGAAATAACAACATACCTAGTGTGATAAGTTGTTACATCTATCATTTTTTAAAATTTGAAAGTTTTAATACTCAGCCACTATCTTAATTTTATAGCCCATCTGGTGTAGTCTATACTGTTTCTTCAAAAGTGAGATTTGAAAACAAATTAAAGCTTTCAAAGAGCCATTTTAATGATTTAACTATGTCTAATCAAAGACTTCTAAGTTCAATCTAAATGCATAAGTTTTTGACATCCTTAGCACATTGGCCAGAGGCATTGAAACAAAAAAGCCAGAACAATGTGTTACCAAAAATGAGCTCAGAAGTAATTTAGCTAAAAAGAAAACCTCAGGAATGGTACACACTCTCTTTTGCCCAGCAACCATAACAAGCTACCCAGGGAAAATATTTTAACTTTCCAATCCAAGCTGTACCTTCATTATGAGTTTGTGAGTTTTTCTGTAAGAACACAACTGTGTGATCAAATCTGAAGTGCAGACTGATTCTCCACAGTAGCTACAGGCTAATAAGAGTGAGGCTCAGCCAGATTTCCAGATGGGTGTCTTTATCCCAAGAGAAGTCCAAACATTGTCTAGAGAAAAACAGCAAGTGAAGGGACAAGGCCTGTCATGTCAGAGGAGCAGCTCTGGCATCATGGTATTTTCCCAAACCTACTGGGCTGATGTAAAAGTTGGTTTAATCACAGGATGAAAAGCTGAGGAAGTGAAAATTGTGCTAAATTTCTCTTGGGAGAGGATTTTCTTTGGGGACAGGGGCCAAAAAACAGGGTGTGTGTAGGGGACACCAGAAACCTTTACTGTGTTGATATGCAGAAGGCAGAGAAGATGCTGACTGTCAGGTGTACAGTTTAGGATTCAGTTCTCAGCCTCTGCTGCTGGTAATTTTCACCCCAACCTATGTCCTGATATATATCTTGTTTCTCTGGACTGGATGACAGCAGAACAAGCATATTTGTAACAGGACAGACCACTTGCTAATGCCAAAATCTTTTTCCTATTCTTTTTATGGGTATTTTTACTTAACTGATACCTGTGTTAAAATTACTACAGCACTTTATTTTACAAAACTTGAGCAAGTTCTGTAATTGCAGTGTGCTTGCACTGCTTCCCAGTCCATGTTAGTTATCAGCATCCTGTTGGAAGGAAAACTCCCACCCAATCCAGTATTTTTATCTCACCCTACAGCACTCTTGCTATCCTACACTGGCTGATTGGTAATGTGCTGGTTGCTTTTAGGTTAACTAGAAAATGGTTTAAAATACCTTGTACTATAATAAAGTATTTAAAGAAAGAGTACTTGAAGAAGTAATAAATTCAGCTTATGCCTGGAACTCCAAATTCCAAGCACCAAGAAGAACATCAATGCACATTTGAAACAAAGTAACAAAATTAATCAAAAATAAAAGTTGCTTACATTGCTGACTTGGATCGGAATCTGTGGTCATCTTCACGTAGTTTGAGGGGAAGAGACCTGTCACACCATTGATTTCTCCTTGCCACCAGTCAGCATCATCTTTGTTCAGCACATTAATCAGCTGCCCCTTGGAGAAACTGAGCTCGTCCTCATTGTTTGCCGTGTAATCGTACATGGCTATCACCTGGCACACTGTGAAGGAAAGAAGAGTAGAATGGAGTTAGACCTGTATTAAAACGGTTTTCTCAGGGTTTTACAAAATCACAGGGAAAAAACAACCACTTCACATGCACTGTTGCGTAAGAAAAATGCCACATGATTTTATCTTGATACAGAATTGTCTTCCCTTTTCTTTTACTTTTTTAAAATTGTGCCAGCCAGTAATTCTTATTTTCACTTTATATATCTGTGAACTTTTATAATGAATGGACTGCATCTACTGGCCTTCTAAACACTTTAAAATGTAATCAAGTATGCTTCTCCCTTTTGCTGGCTGAAAAGAGAGTGAGTTTGATTATCTTACTGCAGACACTTGTGGGGAAAATGTGGCAGAGGAAGAGGAAATGTGCGTTAGCTAATCCTGGGTTGCTGCTTTAGTAACAGGGAAGTTTTCTCCAGTAAAACCCAGGAAATTATTGTATAAGCAACTCATAGCTGTGGAGAACAGCATAATTTAAGCACACAGAAGCAAAAAAGCTTCTCTTCTATGAAATAACCTCATTTGTACCCAACCATTTTTCAAATGAAAAAACCTAGAAATAACCTGAAAATTTGCTTAGTCTCCCTCTTTTTAAGGAGCAGTGCATGTAATTCCACGTGGTTTGCCAATGCTCGCTAGCTCTCGCTAAGATTTTTGCTAGCACTTGGAAACATGGAGTTTCCAGATGAGAAGAGTACAGCTCTTCAGAGCAACCATCAAAATTAAAAACCCCAGAAGATGGATGCTGAACCTCATGGATACATGAACAATTGAAATAGTTACATAAAATTCTAAATGAAATACAAAGTCTTTTTTTCACCTGAGGGAGCAGCTGATGTGGTTCTTTCACTGCTTGGACCCAGCAGTTTCACATGGCTGGCAGGGAACCATCCCTTCTGTCTCTTTTTCCCTCTTGCCTGCAAATGTTTATAATGGTTATTACACAACTGAAAAACTGAATAGTCCATAGACTGGAAAAAAATGAAACAAATATGTCACAGAGTTTTGCAAACAAAAGACAAGAAGTCAGGGGCTTTTATACAGTTACTAAATGAATCTCAAAAGACAAAAATCTGACGAAAGCATAGAAAAATGCAGTTCAGATAAAGCTGCACCCTAATATGTTCATCCAAAAATTTTAAGTGAGATTTCAGAGTACAACTCAATTATAGGGCTGAAAATTTGTTCTATGACTATTCTACCTGTGCATCATATCCAGTCTCTAATGAGATCAAGAGCACTTTTACAGGACATTCTTAAATCCAGGTGGGCAAGGGAAAGAAGTGGGAACAGCACCTTTGCATTAAATAAGCTTCCAACTCCAGCTTCCAAACCCACCTGTTCTTTCATTAGAATAGCTTTAATGTTTCACCAATTAAATCCTAACCAATTAAATAACTGTCAACTTGTCTCTTCCTCCTCCCACATGTTAATTGACAGTTCTACTGTTTTATGTGACCAAGAAAATCGACTCTAAAAAAACCATAAAATCCCCAGCAACCCAACATTTAAAAAAGCCAACCAACCAAGTAACAAACAAAAAACATCTACCACACAGCTTTTCTTCCCCTTTGGTTTATACAAGATGAAAATAACTTTCTGACCAGCTTTTATATAACTCTTTACTTAGTTGTTTTTTTTTTTTAATTAAACCCAAGAGCACCTCCTTGCCATTCATGAAGTCACAATTATTCCTCCTTGAATCACTACCTGCAACTCTCCTTGCCACCATCCACTGGCATTTTTCTTCAAAATAAGTATCAGCTGTCCTGGAGCGAGACTGAGCTGTTCAGTTCCTGATGCAGCGTAGGCAGTAGTAACCTGAGCGATTTCTGGAAAGAAAACAGTAATTTCATTTGTTATTTTTTCACTGTAGTAAGAGCTGGATCCACAGAAGTATCCTGGTACACAACTTGCAGCTAAGAACATCAGCCACCATTAAAAAACTGCTATGAACCTAAATGCTCAGAGTTACTTACAAAACAGCCTTAAATGTTAAAAGCTTATCACACACTTACCGGGTTTCTTATTTATTGTTCCAGTTTTGCCAGCATAGCTAGAAGCCTACAAAGACAAAACAACAACCACCTTTAATGTCCAATAAAACCAGTACAGTTTGCACAAAAAGCACATGGAGATTTTAACTTAAAACCCTTATTTAACAAAACATCATCCTGTACAGAAAGAGAGGCAGTGTGACACTGGCTACAGCTCTGATTTAACACTCAAGCTAAGGATTCTCTTTTCTGTCAAGCACATTTATCTCTGCTCAAAATCCCTAAGAGCTGGGTGCCAATGGAATAAAACTGAGAGAAAATACTGTGTGTTAATTCTCAGAATATGAACTCACATCTGGATCTTTTGGTCTGACGTAATTGGAGGGGAAGATTCCAGTTCTGTTATCGATGCTCCCAGTCCACCACTCCCCTTCCTTCTGGGTCACCAGGATCTCCTCACCTTCCATGAATGTCAAATCACCAGGCTCAGAGCTTGAGTACGGGTAGAGGGCAACATACTCTGTGCAAAGAGCACACAGAGAACAGCTTCAGATGGGCATAAAGGAACATCAGATGCAGATAAAGGGATATCAGCATTCTCCAGTGTGTTCATAACAGGAGTTATGTTCATAACATACCTTCACAAGTCTGAACTGACCTGTCTACCTGCTTGACTGTAATCCCATTTACTCTTGCAGGTATACAACTTTGTAATGAAAAAGCACAAGTGCAATTAAAATATAATTGGGGAAGCATGGACATACACAAGAAATTTTTCTCCAATAATACTTGTTTTCTAACTCCTTACTGACTGTAAAAGAATGATCCACATTCAGGAGATTAAAAATACTTTCTCATGTCTTTACAGAGCAATATAACACAGTAGAGAACAGCAGGAAGAGAACTCTGCTTATGAGTTTTCAGAAATATTATTCATGCTCTAGTAGAAATCTTAATAACAGAACCTAGGCCTATGCTAAACCCAAATTACTTATAACCTTAAGATCCTATTTTAAAACTCTTGTATCAACAGCTGAACATTTGCACTGTGTCTTTTGGACAAGCACTCAAAGTGCTGCTCAGAAACTCCTCACAAACTGAACTATATTTACAAGTCAGTAAGCAGAACCAGACTGTACATTAGTTGGCATTTTTCATGCTGTCTTACCCTCTCCTGCTGGGTAACTCTGGGTATTAGGCCTTTTGTTTACAGCTGCATAAATAGCTTCTGGTCTGCAGAAAGAAGGAAAAAAAATAAGGTTTGTGTTACCAAGAGGCTGATCAAGAGCAAATCTCTCAATTCACATGAGATTAAGATCACTTTGGTTCTATCAGAGCTGGTACTGACTCTGAATTAACTGCAAAGACTACCCTGACTATCAAACAGTGCCAAGTATTACTCATATTTAATATATTTATGGCAATCAAGAGCACACCACTTAAAAAAAATATCGTGATAAAAGGGAAGAGATATATTCACAAATTATGTTATTCAAAAGAAGTAAATTAAAGACTTTAACTAAATTCTCTTATTATAAAGAATTTCTAAGAAGTTTTAGCAGAATGCATGAACAGAACAACTTACACACAGTGGTGCAGCCATCCCAGCAGTAACCAGACTTTACCTGAACAGTTACCATGGAGCATCAGAACAGGCATAATGATCTTTTCAAGTGAAGAAAAACACACAACTGCTCTCTGCAGCACTTACAATTAGTTCTGATCACTTAAAAATTGGCACCTTTAGAGGAAGAATGCAACTGCACTGCAAGAGAGGAGACTTGGTAATGAACAAAAAGTCTGGCATTTGATGAATAATCAAACACCACTGATGTTTCACAGCACTCAGCCTACCAAGACTGTCCATAGCTACACAGCAGTGAGCCAAACATTACTTGGCTTGCCAGAATAAAATAATAAAAGCCTAAAATGACACAGTGTAAATTCTAAATGCCATTTATGTTCTGCACACTAAAGCAACTGCAAGAATTTTGCACTCTAAACCACCTCTTTTTGCAAACTGCTGAATAAAACAACAACAAAAGTCACACTTACTCCTCTTTCTTGGTTTCACTCCCAGGTAAGAGCTTGACATAGGACTTTGGAAACCAACCCCTTCCTCCATGTACCTCTCCAAACCACCAGTTCTCCTGCTGCTCCAGGACAGTGATGATGTCATTCTTTGAAAAATTCAAGTGGTTATCTTTTTTTGCAGTCCAAGAGCAAAGTGCTTGTGCTTTTAGGTTCTCTACAGGCTGCCCCTGTAAGACAGGAGTGATGTTGGTTGACAACACTGCCAAACTGGTTCAGTTGTTAAAAACAAACACTGGTGTATCTTTTATTGAAGTTTAAGCAACTTCATTCCTGAGTGATGGCTGAATAACTTTGTTTACATCAATGCACACATGCAATTCAGTTTCTTATTTGTTAGGAATATCTTCTGCACCTAATTATAGGTGAAACTGCTTTTAGAATTACGAAAGGTGAGTATTCTTGCTCAGTGGTCCCTGGAAATATATGGAATTCTATCAATGCACACTAGTAGAATATTTAGAAGAGCCTCTTTATCATCCAACCTGTTCAGTGCACCCAGCATTAACAAAGTTGTGTGGTGTTCTGTTTTTTTAAAATCATTTTCATTAACATGAATCTGAAATACAGCAAGTTCTGCACAGGGTACCTGTCCATGAATGGGTGAAACAGATCCAGGGGAAACAGTGCGAGTAAAAGCTGATTTCTGCTGCCAGGCTGTGTTAACATTCAGGCTGGAAAAGGGGATATTTTGGTAATCAGATTCTTCTGCAGATTTACTTGGTGAAAGTGGTCTGCAAATTGAACACAAGGCATATTCATCAAATTACAACTTTTATTTAGAAAGTTCCTCAAGCTGAGAAATATTTTTTTAACATCTATAAAACTGATATTCAATATAATGCAAAGCAGACTATCAAATACTTAAATTTTCCAAGCTAAGACTTTTAAGAAGGTTCTTCAATAAGTTTTCTGCCTTTGTATTTTCAAAACAAACATCAAGTGAAACTGTACAGCACATTATGTGCTAGCTAAATTTAGAAAAAGCAATTCAAACACAAGCATAACTCACTCTGAAGCAGCTGAGGTAGTAGATAAAGATACTGTAGGAGGAAGTAAGGCTTTCTTAGGAGATAAAGCTTTTTCTCCTTCTGGTATTTTTTCTACATAATTGCACGGAAACCAACCAAAATGTCCTTGAAAACTCCCATAAAGCCAACCAGGCTCTCCCACAGTTTTTTCATCAACCTATGGACAGGAGGAGAAATACAAAGGAAACATTATTAGCAGCATGAAACAAGCAAGGTACCTGATGTGTCAGCACCTGCTGGCTCTCTGACCTGAACAGGGCCTGACCTGAACACCAGGATCAGCATTTTCACTCTGCCCTGGCAGAGCTGAGCTGATTTTGCCCTGTGATGATGCAGCTGCACTGGTTTCAGACAAAACCAGTACAGACAGACCTCAGAGCCCTTCAAACATACACATGGGGATCATGCAGTGCCTCTGAGCCACTCCTGTCTGCCAAAAATGCTGGTGCCTTGTGCTGGATTCTGCTGAATGTGCAGCCAAGAGGCAGGGGCTGGTGAGCCCAGCAGAGCAGGAAACAACTGCTCCTGTTCTGCTCGCAGATATAATTAACTCTGTCAGCTGACTGCATCCAAAACATATCCAAAAATTCTGTTATTTACTATGTGATTAAGTATAGAGAATCCTTAAACATTCACAGCAATACTGAAGCTTCCATTATGCTGCAAATTAGCCAGTTAGTGAAAATTGGCTAAAAATTAGCAGCCCATCAAAAACTATCAGCTGGTTAGCTTTGCTGGGGTTTGGGATGCAAGAGGAGGAGGAGGTGGCAGCTGTTAGCCTATTTCTGAAATCAGTTATCAGCAATTAAATGATACAATTACAGCTGAGAGGGAAGTCAAAGCAAAACCTACTCCTCTTGTTCCTTCTTCCATGGTTCATTGGTATGAAAATGCAAATAAATGCTTTAACACTGTCAAACTGAAAGCTAATTTAGTCAAGTGTTTTAGTATTTTGTACCACATTGCTTTATAAATTCTTCCTTATCACCTACTTGTATCACTTACAGTCTGAATGAGGAACCACACATACTTATACATGAGAAACTGTATTACCATGCTTGTGTATCAGTTTTCACACATTCACCTGCAGGCAAAGACTTTCAAACAAGTGCTATTAACTAATATACATGAAATAACACAGATTTCAACTGAGATGCCACAAGGCATTTCCAATCTTATGGTCCTGCTGTAATATTATAGACAGCAAGTTCAGAAAATCGCTACAATAAATGGACACAGAATAAATTAAGTGTCTGCCTGAGAAAGGATTGATAAAGGAACAGTCAGAATGAATCACAGATTCACTGATGGTTTGGGTTGAAAGGGATCTTAAAGATCACCTGGTTCCACCCCCTCTGCCAGGGGCAGGGACACCTTCCCACCAGATCAGGTTGCTCAGACAGGCAGAAATCTCTGTTAAGAATACACTGGAAAACAGTATTAAGATTCAAAAGAACCTTTCACATCTACTTGTTAAATAACTAATTTAATTTTAATTCAAATGCCTTGAATAAATAATTCATATCTATATTTACTAAGCTCGTATTTCAAGCAAACACTCAGAAGCCAGCTTGTAAGTGCGCAATGAACTGCAACAACTACATTGTTTCTGATCTACTAACTTTAGAAAGTTTATGTTTAGCATTCACTGCTCTTGTATTTAAAGAGACTGTCACATATTAGGATGTTTAAAACTCAGAGAAATATTTTGGCTCAACTAATCCTAATTTCACCTGTTTTTTTTAAAAAAAAAAGAAATCAGCAATCCAATTTAAATTTTGAGTAAACCTTAAAATACATCAGTGCAATGCTTCTGACCCTTAAGAATTAGTGCATCTCAAGGCTAGAGAAAAGGGTTAATTTTTGCAAGTTAAATGTAATAGCAAATCTTACCTGAATTACATCTCCAGTATTAAAGCTCATCTCATCATGGTTCCTTGCCTCAAATGGATACAAAGCTCTGTAATTTACCAAAGCAATGGAATTCCTCGACTCTGCAGCACCAACTGCATTGCCTGGAAGGTAAGAAACCAGTGACCACTGTGACACAGCTGAGAGACAAGCACTCAGTTGGAGCCCCATCATTCTGAGCAACTGGTAGGAATATGAGACACTGAGATCACCAGGGTATCAGTTTAACACACCAATCATGGAAATATAATTGAGACAACAAAATGCATTGACTTCTGCAGTGAAAAAATCACAGAAACATAGAATGGGTTGGGCTGGAAGAGACCTTAAAGGTCATCTGGTTCCCCCCCCCTGCCATGGGCAGGGACGCCTTCCACTAGACATCATTAAAAATGACATTTTTATCTTCTCCTCTTTCCTTGCCACAGTGCTCTGGCTAAGCCAGTGCTTTAATAAAGCCTCCTAACACCACTATAATGTTCCAAGCTGAAAAGATCCCACTGTTGCAACAGTAAGTGTTCAGCAGTGTGCATGAAAATTTTATTTAGAAACCTGAAATAGTAAAATAGCACAACTTCCATTTTCTTTGCATATCTGTTCTCCAAGTCAGTGACTGATGTTGCAAACAGGGAATGTTTTACAAGGTTTAGCTGAGGTGTGCAAGTATCTTTCAGCCCTGTTCTAATTTGATCCTTGCTGATCTCAGTGAGAAAAGTGGTTAATAAAATTTGACAAGAACTAATGAAGGATGAAATCAAATGTGTCTTCAGAGAAAATACTGTTAAAGCACTTTTTTCCAAGTCCCACAGCTAGAGTTAGGTCTAGTCATTCAGTTCTTATCTGTTTTTATCTGAGGCATTGAGTAATGCAAAAATAAACTACATTTTACTGTTAATAAATCACTTTTCTGCCCATCTCTCATCAATGAGCAAACACCCTCTGTATTAGCATTCCATTTTAATGACAGAAAGTGCAAGCCCTAGGAAAAGCCTAAAATATTACTGTTCCCAGAAACTGCTATTTGTTGACCATGATCACTGGAAGATTTGTCATCAGAGTCATAGGTGATGAAAACTGACAGAAGTAACTTACGCTTATAGGATCATTTGTAACTGACAAAAGACATGAAACATTACTAGTTTGGGTTTTTTTTAATTGTATCTTTGGCAGACTTCTTGCCTTAGAGTCACATCAACAGCAGTATACCTGAAGAGTAAAATAACACTCAGGAAAGTAAAAATCCAAAAGTCTAATGATTTTGAGATTACCTTCATTTTTCCAGGGTGGCTTAAGACTTTTCCCCTCTGTTGGCTTCAACAGATCTGCAAACTTTTCATTTATGTTTATTTTAGAAGTGTGTTTATCCACCTCTTGAAAGTTGGTTGCTTCTTTTATCTTTTTTATCTCCTCGTTCTGCTTGCGCCTCTCCTCAGCTTCTTTTGCTATTTGTTCTTGCTTTCTTTTATCTTCTTCCAGTTGCTTCTGCCTTTGTTGTTCCACGTCCCTCAAGATCGTGGCTTGTCTGTTTTTCTCCTCCTCTGCAAGAAGCTGTTTTTTGTTTTCCCTCTCTCTCATCATGGCAGCGGCTTCTTCAGCTTTCAGCTTTTCCTGGACTTTTTCCTGCATTCGTTCTTCCTCCAGTCGCTTCTTTTTCTCTTCCTCTTCCCTTCGGATATTTTCCTGCCATCGGTTCTCCTTCTCCCGTTTTGCTTTCCTGGAGAAAAGGAGAGAGGTTAAGAGAACATCGATATAAAAATGAATGAGATTGTGTTCCTACAGTAAACAGTGACACTTGTCAGTAAAACTGAGCTTATGACTTTGACCACTCTGCTCTCAGGGTCATGAGCTCTGCCACAGACCACAGCTTAACATGGGTGCCAGTGTATTCCACATAAAAATAACAAATGGATTAAAAATCTTGAATTTTAATCCATCACCTGTGCAGTGCCTTCAGGAGCACTTCTGCCCTCCTGCATCCTAATCAGCAAGAACTGATCTAATAATTGAGCCAAGCTGGATTTAAGCTCTCCAGGAAGGCAGTATCCAGATCTCCTGACTGGAATCAAGGACTGCCAAACAGATTAATTTCCCTTAGGTACATACATAAAAATAGCCTTTGTGTACTGATCTTGGCAGCTTGGTATTTTTGCCTTCAGCAGTTGCAATCTATCCAATGTGCTTATCCCTGCCAGGACCACAATGCAGCAGACAGGATCTGGAAACCCAACTGTATTCTCTGTAACTATTCAGATGTTATCCTGTGCCTCAGCTGTCTAAAAAAGTTAGTATCCAATTCAACACAATATTTTAGCTGTCAAGACCTTTCTGCTGAAGAGGGAGGATCTAACCCTTTGGGCCATCTTCTTAAAAATGTCTAGATGAGACCTTTTCATCCATTCCCTCTAGGACATCCACTCCTCTGACGGGCATTTTAGTGTTTCCAAGCACATGGCAGGATGCAATAGGAGCTGTGCAGTGATGCTGTTACTCCATCACACAGCTGTGTCCAACCAAAAAATTAACAGGCTATCACCACATATATGGCACATGGTTCTCTTAAACAGACTGTCACAAATGTTATGGAACTTCATCACACGCAGAAAAGTGGTGTCATGAGCAAAGCCCATGAAACACTACAAGGTCACCAGCTCTGTTTCTTTAGTCAAATCAAATATAAATCATTGAAAATCTCAAATTCAATCCTGCTTACAGGAGTGGTACTTTACATAAAATGCTTCCCCTAAGGCAACCAATAGGATGTACTTTTACATTAAAAATACATATCTTATCTTAAAAGTCACAACAGCATTGTTCTAATAACTGCAGCACTGATACACTCAGCCATGGTTACCTTGCAGCCTCATCTTCCAGTCGCTTCTTCTGTGCAAGTTCAGCTCTTCCTTTTTGTACCTCTCTTATTTTGTCCTGTTTGATCCTGTGGAGTTGCTCCAAGGCTAATTGCTGTGTGCTGTAACTTTCCCTCAGGTCCTAGGGAGGGAACAGTGGAATATATAAAAGGGAATAAAGCCAGTCTTTGAGAAAAGCATCCAGGCATTTAATGCTTTTTCAACCAGGCTTTAATGCAAATGGCCAAAGTAATATTAAGTTATTAATAGTCCTTGGAGGTCACTGCAAAGAAAATCAAATCAACAGAAGTATAAGAGGAGATGGCAGGTTTGCCAAGTCAGTGATGTAATTTGGGCTTTCAAAGAGCCCTTCCAGTCCTACACCTGCTGGAAATGCCAAATACGACAGAGGAGAGGGGAAGATACAAAACTGAGTGTTCCAACACAACATTCCTGAAGGCAGTGAATTGTATTTTAAGTAACTACAAGGAGACAGATTTCAGCTGAAATCCAACACGGTACCATAACCTGAGAAAGCATCCTGCAATAGGGTGCTCACTCTTAGTGCTTCCTGATTGATCAGTCCCATGTTTAAACCAGAAAACTTTCATAAATATACCCAGCAGTCTTACCACTGTGGGAAAACACAGCTTAAAGACACTTACTCTGACTGGACTTTTCCCCTGTACTTGTAATCTTCTCAATTTTAGACTTTTTCTTTTTGAACACATCCTTCAATTCCTATTCCACCTCCCTCTGAAAACAATCTTTTATTCCAAACAAAAAATCAGCATGAATCTTTTGGATAATTAAATTTACAGATGGAAAAAAATCAACAATAACAGAATTACTTTACGTTGTACTTCCCCATGTTGCAAAACACCTCTAAGATACTTCAGGTTTTTTCCTTAGGAATCCTGCTGATATACATTGAACAATGCAACAGCTAAGCCTTGATTTTTGTATCTGATCTCATAAATACAACTAAAGCAATTAAGAACAAATCATTCCCGCTACCATATGCGCCTCTACCAATAATCATGTTGCCTAAGAGATATGGTGCAATTTACATGACAAAGGCAAGATAATAAGATTGCTGTATCACTGAAAGTCTCTGCAGCAACAAGATCAAACCAAGCAATTGACCACAATTTTTTTTCTCAAATACATTCAGCTGGGAATATTTTTCCTTCTTACTTTGCCCATAATTTCAGGAGCACTATGGAAGCAAACTTAGATTAGAAAAACTCTATATCTTTAAGGACAGAAAAACCCTCATGCAAAGCAAAATGAAAAGCTCAGTTAGGCAATTCTATTTTTTTTTCCACATAAATTATTCTAAAAGTATTTCTGACCTCAGCAGACAAAAGTAGTGTTGAAAGACAGCAAGTAGGTTTTAGTACTGGGTTAATCTGGAGGTTTGACAGCATTGTTTGCCATACCATATTCTGCACTCTGATGCTACTTCTAGACTTCTAAACAAGACCTCAAATGCCTGACACACAGCTCAGGATGGATGGATACAGGTACAGAGCAAGAGATGGAAAAGTGGGAGAAGACACTGTTTCCATCTGAGACAATTTTTCTGGTTAATGTTGCCTTAACTAAGAAGAAAAATGTTTGGGTGAAACAATTTAAAGAACAGTCCATTATGAAATTAAAAGTCAATATTTTGTTCTCAGTATTCTGCAGTTTGGATTTCTAAGCAGGTAAGGACATTAAGCCTTTAAGAGGATGTAAAAGCTAGCAGAAAGTAAAATAGCCTGTTAATTTTCTTTTGGAAAATGTATTTAATAAAAATTTAATGTTTGTACATCCAAACAAAAAGTGTAAGCAGAGAAAAATAGCGAAATAATTAAGAACCAAAAAAGCCAAAGATTAGAAAATAACCTTAAGTAAGAGGAAGAGGTTGTTGAGACAGCTTAGCAGAGACAAAAGGCACTGAAGAACAGAATCATCCATATTCTCACACTGTAAGATAAGGTAGATAAAAAGCCAATTAATCTTTGCACTGTATTTTGAAAAACATATTTTAGGGAAGACTGAATTGCGGATGCAGCCACTGAACACAGCAAGCCATGCAATAAACAAGTAACTGAAAATGCCCATTGCATGAAGCCACTTGTAAAAAGAAAATTAATTCCTTACATGATTACAAATTTTTGTGGCTCTTTTTTTATTGAAGAGTGCAGAGCCCTTGTGCTGGCCCAGCATCAATCCATTACTTAAGGACAAAGCTCCCACCAGTGCCACTTAGAGTAAGCTGGCAAATAAAGTTAAATGGAGGTGTGGTCTACCCTGTGAGAGCTGCCTAAGTTTTTAGGCAGGCCAAGAGTTGCCTCAGAAACAAAAATTCAGAGCCAGTGGTCGGTCAGCAACTCCGGGCTTCCAACAAATTAAAGAATATTAACAAGTAAGTGGCCTACACTTCTAGGATCACACCCAAATCTGCTACCAGACCTTGCACAGTGTACTGTGAAACTGTGCAAGTCTATTACTAAAAGTCAAGTGTTCAGTACACAATTCAAAAATAACACCAAATATTACCTCATACTGTAAGAACAGAATGTGCAAGGGCCTGAAAAACTTTACTTCTAAATCAAAATGTGTTCCAGAAGGCAAAAGGTGAGAGTGAGCAATAGTTGAGTCATGCAAAGCAATAGTTAGCAAGAGACTCCTATTTTAGTACATTAGCAATAGGTTTGCATTTCTATTGTATCATTTACTCCAAGACTTCTAATGATTCTTATTTGACACTGAAGTTGGGGAAACCTTTTTGGAAGCCTGGTGAAAGTGGCACCAATCTTTATGACTGGATGAAGAACTAAAATACAGTGCTTACAAGTGTAGGCTATTTAGATAATGCAAGTACCTTAAGCTGACGGTTAAATTCATCCATTTCAGCAAGTTTAGAAGCAGTTTCCTTCTCAAGGGCATCTAGCTGTTCTTTAAGTCTTTGGCATAATTCTTCCTTTTCTTGGGACTTCTTGTGCACTGAATTGACTCCTGTACCTGCATAAGGAAAGACAAGCAATTTCACAAGTGTTTCTGGGTTTTTCTTTAGTTTTTTTCCCCAGTTTTTAATAATTGTTTGTTATTTTCCTATTAGATACACAATCCAAACCTCCTTCCTCACAAAAATTTGATTTACCTTTCTATTCATATACAGCACAAGGAAGAAATATCCCCAGCACTGAACTAAGGCACACAGACATTCCATACAATACATACAGAATAATTTGCAAGTTGTTTTTTTTAATATCAGATCAATTCATATCAAGTTTCTCTAGACAGAGACTTGCAGTGTAATTTGGAGACAAGACCAATGTAAACTTTACATAAATTAAATCCCTTGAGTTCGGACTACCAAAAAAAGGACAATTTGTAATAATATATGTGAGCTACATAGTCTGTATAAATGAAGTTTTAAGTTTAAGTTTCTTGCCAAAATGCGTTTGTTTGCCCTTTATTAGGAACATAAAGGAGATAATGGAATGCAGGTGAGACAATAGCACTAACTGGGAAGATGTAGAAGTGAAGGTGTTATTAACACCTCTGTACCCTTCAGCCTTGATTAGAAGGGATGAGAAATCAGCAAAGCAATCAAGAACAGACCTCATGTGCAGGCACTTACTCTGTGTGTTTTCAAGTTGAGCATTCTTTATCCTTTCATTTAACAATTGCTTTTCAGGAACCAAATAGATCAGTTTGTTCTGATAATCCTGTGTATGTTGAAGAGAACATAATTTTTTAATATTGTTTATGAATCACTAAGTAAAACTGAGTTACTTTTCAACATAGCTTCAACCCTTGTTAATGAAACAGGGATGCAAGTTATCACTACCGGATAAAGAAAAACATTATGTCTATACTCTTAATGGAAATAATATTACAGTTGAAAGCTTTTGACCCCAAACCATTAACACACCTGGAAAAATATTTAACAAACATGCTTAAAGTATAAATATTATCACAAGACAGTTTAAAGTGACTGCCCCAAGCCTAACATAAAACAGTAACACGGAAAGAAGCTTCCCTGATGAGTAGAAGCATCACATATGGCAAAGGATAATTTATGGTACTCAACTGATTAGAAATAATTAATGTCTTGTTACTCAAATAAAGAAAAAAAATATGAAAGAACAGCAAGGTAATTCAACCTAAACACCAACTTGGTCTGAACACAGGACAACATTCCTCAAAAAAATCTGAGTCTGGAGCCATAGAAGAATTCAAAACTAAAGAGAAGTCTCTATTATCAGTCTACAAAAGAATAGTTGAGGTTTTCACAACTGTTTTTTAACTCTCAGCTTGTTTTAATACATATCATCATTTGTTTAACACCACACACAAAACTAAAAGCCTCTGCAATGCTGACAGTCTTGCCTATTTCCTCTCTCTACTGCAATCCAACTGACTCCACATTCCTCCCCATAGGGATGCAGTATCAACAGCATTAGGGAAACACAGAATATGGTAAAAGAAAACCATAAGCTTAACAAAGGTACACACCTCAAGCTGTTGCTGTAGTTGCTTGATTTCCATGATTCCTTGGTCATACTTCCTATCCAAGGCCTCCAGCTCAGTTTTTCGCATTTGCTTTTTGCTACGAATATCCTGCAACCTGTCTGAGATCTGCTGATGTTTGTCAGTCTGGAAAGAAAGCAGAGACAGATTACACCACATATGGCAAAAATCCTTTTGCTAAGCCTGCAGGCAGGTTAGTTCACAACCAGTTTTCTAAAACAACCGAAATAACTGCTTTAGATTCGTCATCCAAAACAGAGTGGAACTCCTAATGGGCCATTAATGCAGGTATTAATATTTGTATAATTTAAAATATTTTATTTCAGCATATGTGGTGGAATTCCTGTCTTACCAGGGCTTCTAATTCAAGATTAAGGCTCTTCTTTTTAGAGGTCAACTTGACAATTTCTTCTTGTTCCCTGTTACGCTTATTAAGAAGTTCTTGGTGACGGATCCTCTCCCACTCCAGTCGTCGCTGGCGCTCGAGCTCCTGCTTTGCTGCCTGAGGAAAAGTTACATTACCTTAAATTACAGTGGAGATGCAGAACTCAGAGACCATGATTTAATGTAATGTGCTCTATTTCTCAACAGCACAACAGCAACACAAAATAATGTCTTCTCTCAAGTGCTCTTATACACTTCAGCATCAAAGAATGAAGGAAGTGATCCTACAAGATTCTTCATGCCACATTCCTGAGTCTGGATGAAAAAAGCTTCATAATTCAGAAAGCCTCTGCAGCTTGGAATATTGCCCATAAAAGAGCACATTAACAGATACTGCTCATAACCTCCTTTGAGTATTTCACAGAACTCCATAAAATATGGAAGTATGATGCATACACTGAGACATCAAGTAGAAGCAAATTTGTCTCAAGTTTGGCTGTCAAAATGTTATCAATTATGAATTTAGTAGAGTCTTGTCTGGAATACAAATTTTTGCAGAAATGCAAGAAATATGCCCAAGAAAAATCTCATGTGTCCTATGAAGTATCTGAAAATCTTTAACCTATACCAACATTTATAACAGACACAAATGGTGTTCTATCTCCAAGACAACCTGACATCAACCAGGCCAGGGGACAGAACCAAAGCACTCAAACCCCGGATGCTACACGCACATACACATTCCTCAGAGCATTAAAAAGTAATGTTAAGTAAACAACCTCCCGCCTTTCTATTTCTTTCCTCCTTTCTTCTTCCCTTTGTCTCTCCAGCTCTCGTTGTCTCTCCAGCTGCCTTTCCATCTCCAGTTGCCTCTTCCGTTCCTGCTCCTGGCGTTCCCTCTCTCTTCGCTCCTGTTCTTCCCGTTCTTTCTGAGCCTTTCTTTCAGCCTCTCTCTGCTGCTGCTCCAGCAGGACCTGTCGGCGTTTTTCCAGCTCCATATTTCCCCTCTCATAGTTGGCTTTCCTTTTGTCCTCAAATGTCACTAAAATAAGGAAAGGTCATTATTTCTGCCCTGTGCAAAACAGCGCTCTCAAACAAGGACCTCAGTTATACCACTAAAGATAGATACTTCTTGGCAAGCTCAGGTTGTTCAGTCATGGATGATGTAAGCATCTTCCATTTGTTAAAGTATTATTTTTCTGTTCAAAAATACCTCTAAATTTTCCTAACTATATTCCAACTGGAGAGGAAAAAAAAAATAAAAGAAGAAAAATTTCCAGTTTAAAATGACCACAAAAATGACTTGAATGTTACAGGAAAGCCTCTCACTCTAAAGAATGAAAGATGAAAGAATGCTAGAGGAAAACATAAAAGAACAGCTTTTATAAGCTGGGAGAAGACTGTCTGCTGTTAAAAAGGTTTTCCAGGAAACATTAACACATTGATAAAGAGCTTAGTTTTTCAGGGTGCTCCCTGTAAGAGTTCCTGGAGTTACAACTATGAGACACCAAAACAGGTTCAAGCTCAATTACTGCACACAAGGATAAAAAGAGACACAAATGGTTTATGCCCCCAGCAACCACCCTTCCAAAAAGAGAGGCAAGTCCTGGCTTGCAGTGTCCCTGTAACACTGTCAGTAACAGAATCTAAGGTATGTTCAAACTGCTTCCAGTTTACAGAGAATTGAACTACAATGGACCCCCAGCTTTCAGAATGTTCTAGTAATGCCAGGAACTTTCAAGTGAAAAAAATTTGCAGTTGCACAGCAGTGTCTGGCCATGAAGGGTTTATTTTCCAGAATACATTATTAATCAGCACACTTTTCCTTTCCTACAGCTAAAAATAGCCCCTGTCCCTGCCTTCTCAATTCTATCAGATTTAACAGTCTGACTACATCCACTTAGCAACCTTCCTACCATCCAAGTTAAAAGGGATCTAGCTCCTGAAATGAAGCTCTCTGTGGATTTGATTATTTCCACCACTTTCTAAGAGTTTTAGTGCCCTTCAGAAACAGCCCCATACAAGAATATGAACCCTGTTTTTTACCTGGCTGTTTTTTCTGTGGCTCCTCCTCTTGTACAGCCTGGTAAGATGGCAGAGTTCCATTTATATTTTCAGTATATTTTCCACTCCTGGAGGGGGAAGAAACCCCAACCCACCATTGTTAGAGAAATAGCACAGTTGTGTTAAATATATTACGTTTCACTGCCCTCAGTGATTACCTGAAAGAAGGTGGCACCAGCTCAAGGGGCAGAGTCAGGGGCAGTGGCTGCCCAGCTTTGGCCATGTCTGTGAGGTGCATGGCCAACACAAACTCATCAGCCTTCAGCTGCCCATCTCCATCTATATCAGCCAAGGACCTGCAGGGGTTCAACAGCAGCACCAGTTAGAACCAAACATCACAATCACTCACAAATTACAGCTGTAACACGGCACTGTGGAAAAACAATTAAAAAAACTAACAGTTCCTGTGGAATGTTTTGGTAGAAATACTTACAGTTAATAACAAACAATTGCTGAGGGAGATATTATTTGATTTAATCATGTACTGTTATTCAGATCATAGAATCATGGAATGGTTTGGGCTGAGAGAGACCTTAAAGATCATCCAATTCCAACCCCCTGTCATGGGCAGGGACAACTTCTACTAAACCAGGTTGCTCCAAGCCCCATCCAACTTGACCATGAACACTTCAAGGGATTTGGAATCCACAGCTTCTCTGGGCAGCCTGTTCCAGTGCCTCACCATCCTTACAGTACAGAATTTCTTCTTAATATCCAAACTAAACCTTTTTCAGTTTGAAGCCATTCCCCATTGTCCCGTCTCTACAGGCCATTGTAAATAGTCTCTCTCCATCTTCCTTGTAGGTTCCTTTCAGGTGAAGCTTTCTTTTCAGCTTCACTGAAATATTCTCTTCCCCAGCCTGAACAAACCCAATTCTCTTACTTCTTACCATTTCCTGTCCATTTTTCAGTATTTTATGGAAATGTATCTCTTGCTTTATTGCATCAGAAATAGAACTGGAAAGTGAATCCAGGACTGCTCCTAACCAGCTCAAAATGCCAGAAACTACTTTTTCAAATTTTTTTTGAAGCCAAAGAAAACATTACATAAAATTACATCAAATTCTACAAGAGGAAGCTTTGCATAGAATTCTTTTTTCCCCTTGTGTCTCCTTGATTGTACAGGGAAGAAATGAGCTGGCACAGAGTAACTCACAGTGGGTAGGAAAAGGACCACCTACCCCCTCTAAGGAACAGAAGATCATACTAGCCTACAAAATGTTTCCCACAAACTGTGGGGGCTGATGGGGTGTGTGTGTGTGTGTGAGAGAAACCAGTGAAATGCAAGAAAGCAGGAGTCTCTAAGAACTATCTATAGAGACAGAATTGCTGAAATGTGTCCTTAGACTGCACATAAGCGAAATGCTTAGTAAAAACACAGTTCATTAAAAAAGCAGTTAAAAAAAACTCCTATGAAAAACAAAAAGGAAACAACAAACACCAAAAAAACCCATCACACACACACACCACAGAGAAAAACAAAAGCAGGAGATGATGATATTTTGTTATGTTCACATACCAGCACTATTCACATGTAACAGCACCACTATTTCAGTAATTACCATCTGGGCTGTTATTCAATGGGGGTTCAGAGAGCTCCTTGCACTGACCACTGATACCTTCAGGATATACACCCAGAAGGGAAAGAGCCACTGCACACCTGATTTATTCCCCCAGACTCCAGAGAGGAGCAATACAACCCGACATTCCATGTTTATCTTCACAGCATGAAACTAAACAAGGCGAGCTCTGCTGCTGCTAAAGACACAAATAACTGTCCTGGGACAGAAGAAGAAGAAGAAAGGGAACTCAAGAGGAGATGTAAAGCTGTTGTGAATTCTGCTTGGCCACTAAATTTCACATATACATCTGAGTTATGTCTGAATGTGCAACCTAAAATGCCACATCTAGCAGAGCAGATCACTCAGACCTTCAGACAACTCTCACCGCTTTTATCAGCACAATAAAAACAAGTCTTAACAAAAGTGTAATTTGCAGATATCTCTATGGAAACTGCAGTGAAACTCAAAAGAGCTGAAAAGTTACTTAATCTTCCTCCATATTTACAAATAACAACCTAGATTTCAGAATCCTGCTTTTGAAAGGAACAAGCCCTCAGCTCAGCAAGAGCATCCCTGGATCAGAAATTGAAGTTAGCATTTCTTCTATTATATAGAGTCTAACAAATACACACAAAGAATGAAAAACTGAATTATCTCAAGGTGTCTTTTAGAAATGTAACTAGTGAACAAACTTCGTTTAACTAGCAGCTCAGTTTCTGTTTATGATTTTAGATCTTCGGTGTCACTTTATCATTTCTTATTTAAAAAGTACATTTCCTCTCTTAATACCATAAAGACACTGAATCAGTAACTAAACTCACCAAATAGTAGCCAGCTGAGTCTGCGAAAGATTTGATTGCAGAAGGGCATTCCTTGCTTGAAATCCTTAGTGAAAGTGTAAAAGATTTTTATTAAAATAAACACTTCATTGAAAGATTCACGAGGCAAAAAAATGGGTCACTAACTGGGGCATGTTTATTTTTAATATTAATCTAATCTATTTTCATCAGTTGGTTTTACTTCCAATCTTAACAACAGGCATTATAACCTGAACACAATGAAGATGTAAGTATTCTCATGTACCTTTTTCTACTCAGAGCACCTAACAGAAAAGCTGACATGAAAAATGGGTATTTATGGTAATCCCCACAGCTGTCACAAAAGCACAGCTGACTTGTTGGCCTAAACACCTGGAGAGTTTTCCTTGGTAGCAAAGAATCAGACATTTCTAGGCACATTGAGGAAACCTTCAGCCCAAAATCGACTGAACAAGATAAAAAGCATTGAGACCCTTTCCTTAAAGAAAGGATTGTCCTCTTCCTTTGTAGGCAAGGGAACTGAGGCAGAGTGCTTACTCAAAATGGGAAATCTAACTAAGACACACATACTGACTTTACACCTACTGACTGCTTGGCCAGCGCTCTCTACTTGCTGCATTATACTGAGGAATCCCATTTCATAAGAACTTTTGTAAAACTCTCTTGTATTAACTTTGTATGAAGTCTTTTGAAGCCACCATAATGCTGTGGCCCAGCACAGATGTCACTGGAAATCAACAAGGATTCAATTAAATTACTTTGGAAAAATCCCAAGCAATGGCTGCAGTTCTGTAGTGTCTCTCCCAAGCTGCTTTCTTGCAAAAGATAAAGCCCAAGTATCTGAGCACTGACTGATACAGGAGCACATGGCACAAAAACGATGGTGAATGTCCCCTATCTTCATGAGAAAGTCTCAGTCCAAAGAGCGATGCTTGAAAAATGCCTGCTGACTTTACAGAGCTGCACTCCACAGCCTCGTGGTTCTCAGGCTCCTCTGATCAGATCCCACCACTGCAGGATTCTCCTCTTCCCTGCAACAGCTGCTGTAGCTTCCCCAGTGTATTTGGCTCCTCCAGGTCTAACACAAAGCCCAAGACAACGAACTGGGGGTTATTACCACTTCTTGGCTGGCTGAAAACCACTCTCCTGCACAGGTCTGAACACCAACATTTCAGCTTTTACTTCACATGCAAGTCAAATCCCAAGCTGGGATTCTATCCCTCAGCCTGTGACGTTCAGAGACAGGAAATACTCTGGTTTTCCCATTCCATACCAAAAGTCATACTCACCTGATAAATATCCACTCATACTTTTATCAAGACTGTTAAATTTCTGTCTGTATTTTAATCTGGAGGCCTGAGGAACTGCCCAGTCTGAGGACGTAATCTTTGGTGAATTCCCAGCTAGTGATGCACTAGAGGAAGAATTTGAACTGCAATATAATTTCAAAACAAAACAGAACAAAAACAAAGCAAAAAAAAATCCAAACCAAACCAATCAACCAAATATTAAAAGAAAACCAAAAGAGAAAAAGAGATAAAGAAATAACTCTAAATCACTTGGCTTAATAAAGAGCCAATGAACAAAAGATATGTAACATCCTCCAGTAAAATGAAACAATTTCCACGAAGTTTTACTTCTGCTAACTTGCTATAAATAATTTCATCACAAATATGGAATTTTACAGTCAGAGTAGGGATATATTTGTAAGGAAACAACATGTAGATTAGAAAATCCTTTTCCTCTGGTATCACAGGCACTAATACACATAATTGATCCTTCTACCACTGCAAAATAATAGTGTAGGAAACCACCTCCACTATCCCAAGAGTGTTGGGTCATTGGTTAAGTAACTTCAAGATTTAAATGAATAACCATGAGAATAAACATGGATCTGATGAACTCACAACCAAAAGCAGCTTCTAAAAATGTTTTAATCACCATATTCCAACCCTACCTCTTCTTTCTGTTAGTGACAATGACATGCTGAGTGAAGCTTTTCCAACTCAGTTTCTGTAGAATAGTGCTGAAGAAGGGTTTAGACAGACCCATAAAACTTTTTCTAAACTCCCATCATTTGCAGAGTTCCATCTCTGAAAACCAAACTCAGGAAAGCTGAATCCAGCCTGCCTTGTTTAAAGTAATCCCCTGCTCTGTCAAGTTGAAAAAAAACCCAAAACTATTTGAAGTGCTATCCAAGGCAATACAGAATGCTGATGGAAACAAAGCCTCTCCAGCACAATGCTGGATTGACATCCCCTGCATGGAATGAGACAACATGATGGTGAAAATGCTGCCAACAGTAACACTGGAGAAGGGCTCCTTTGTACAGCATCAGCAACAGAAAGCTTTCCAATTAAAAAAAACAAACAAACAACCAAAAAAAAAAAAAAAAAAAAAAAAGATTATTTCAGGCACATGTCATGCCTACATCTGCTGGTATCATCTAGGACATCTGCTGGTATCAGGTGTGTGAGGAGCCCAGATCATGCACCCCACATCTGCTGGTATCAGGTGTGTGAGGAGCCCAGATCATGCACCCCACATGCTGAACAGGCAGCAGGGAGGCACAAGAGCCTCTGAGTTACTTATGGAACTGAGCTGGGGCAGAGGTGCCCGCTGGACCATTTTTTGGGAAACACCCCTGGATACCCAATTGGATAGATAAGCCCAGTCCCTCACTTTAGTCCATGGCAAAGCTCTAAAATCAGTGAATCGGAGCAGCTGATTATAAAGATTCATAATCTTCTATTTTTCATAAAACAAATTCACATATAAATATTGATAGCAAACCCTATTCTAACATGCCTGCTGATTACATGGTGCCCTCTATAATGAATGAGCATTGCTTTTAGAACCACTTAGTAAGGTTTGTTTCTATTTACTAATGAGGTACACTCCCTTCCTTTTGGCAGTGCTCATCTGACCTCCTTGCCTACTTTGGATATTTTTGTCAATTTACCGAAAATATTACCTATTGTACATATAAAAACAAAATCCATTTTTAGACTTGATAGGTCACATTAGATAAGATTAATTTTTAACAAATGTACTTTGAGAACAGAAATGTTCCATAAATTTTGGAAGGTATACTACTGAAGTGTAAGATACAACCACTTTAAACTTAACTTCCATACCTGCTAGATCCTAAATCAATTAGTGACTGTGCCTTCTGCATACTGGAACCACCAAATCCTCCTGCCATGGGGCCTAAAGAACCAGTATGAGGCAGAGCTGGGACAAGAAGAAACAAAAAATTAACCCCAGAACTGTAAAGCAACTGGGTGTAAGATAATGCTTCATAATCAATATTCACTTTGATAGAAGTAAGAAAATCTAATCAGTGTCTTATTGTTATGATTAACTAGTTAGAACAGAATTAACAAATGTGAACTCTGGAGAAAAAAAACATTTCTAGGGTTTTCTGTCAGGAGTTTTTTGTTTGGTGTGGTTTTTGTTTTTTTTAAACTCTCATGCATGTGTTAGCATTCCTGTCTGAAATTAGCCATAGGGAAAATAAGATTCACAATTCTGAGAGCAAAAACTGGACTGTGCTATACTTACTTGAGGAAAAAGGTACGGATAAAGGCTGTAGAAGGCTGGATGTTCCATTTGGCAACGAGGAGGTACTGACAGAAGGCACCAGGGGAGCAGAGATAACCAAAGGAGGAATGGAAGTCATGGAGGTCAGAGACATAGGAGCTAATGGTGTGATCGCAGACACAGACGTTGGCATGGACAGATTTGGCATACTACCCATTCCTAGAGCAAAATCCAATAAGTCATGATTTAACATTGCAGAGGCTTCAGCAAGAAACTGGGTTCCTTATGTGATGCAGAAACTACACAAAGCAACCGGTAACTGGAATACAATCAGTTAAAACAGATGCTCATGTACAGTATTTACTTTTCCTCTAAATTTAGGCAAGGTAGCTCACAGGGGAAAATACACTGAAGAACAGGAACTCAAAAAGAAAAATCTTGACAAGCAAATTAATTTTCAAGGCAGGTTTAGCTACTATTTTCACAACAGAGTAAGTTCTTGTTTTCTGTAATTGCAGCTATACCTATTTCTTCAACAAGCCTGGCCCCTAAGAGAGAATTACAACCTCAAAAGCTGTGACAATCCTCCACAGGGAAAAGCTGCTGCTGTTTCTGAACTAAACCTCTTCCAAGTATCAGCCCTGGGAGAATCCACAGAGGTAAAAGTTCCTTATTAGGAACCCATGCTTAGAGAAGGGTTTCTGGAGGTAGCTGCCTGAGGCAAATTAGGGCACTTGAATTACTGTCTGCATCTTGTGGAAGACAACAGTGCTGGTGAGATAATGGAAAGTTATAGAGGTAACTGTGCCAACCACAGCTCCCTGTAAATGCATGCCCTTGTACCCAAACACATGAGATTTGGGTGATTTTAAATCATGTATGTAATTCATATATGCATACATTTAATTTCAGCGTAGAAGTGTGCACGCTTTGTAATCCAGCTCAAGTCGCTGTGGATATTTCGTGCTATAAAACAACACAATAACAAGCATGCACTGAATCCCCAAATACCATCAGAAAAAAAAAAAGTCAAAGTAATTCTATTCAGTTAATCACATAACCAAAACAGACAATCTGATTCACTTTGAAAAAATATGTAAAATAGCTGTTCTACCAAAACTATGACCTTTGACTACATTTAAATTTAAAACCCCCAAGTATAAATAGGTGACTGAGTGTGAGTGAGACAAAAAATGACCACCACTACAAAATGAGAGCCAGTAAGTCAGATGACAGATGTGAATGGCCTTCTTGTCAAAACAGAATAAAAGCTTTTCTTTATTAAAAGTCTTCAAAGAATCAATTATCAAAAATATCAAGAAAGTGACCTGGTGAATTTCCTAAATCAGAATATCCTTTTTTCTTGTTTCATGCTGATTCACTAAATTTTCATGGTCAGATTAATGCTTTTATTTGGCTGCAATTAACTGTGTTTTTTTACCTCTGAACACTAATTAATTATATATTCATAAGTACCAAAGCGAGCTGACATTAGTGGTGAAAACCCTGGAGTTTGTTTCATGACAGGAGGGAGAACTGAAGGCAAGTTCTGTCCTTGCAATTTCAGCTTGATGAGTTTCATGGCTATAGAGAACTCCAGTTGATCCATTTTTCCATCCCTGTTCAGGTCCGAGAGTGTCCTTAAAATAAAATAAAATTATAGAAGAAAAAGAAATTAAAAGTTTTTGATCAGTGATAAGCTTTCCTACTAGATTTATTTACTGTTTTTGTATAGGAAAACAAGAAACTCATTGCAAAGTAGATTTTCTACTTTTGCTAACATTTGTACCTTTGAGAAGTTTGAGTACCCACTTCTGCAGAGTTCAGTTTTGAGCTTGCTATATATTAAACATGTAATTTGCAAGAAAACATTTGGGAAAGCACAAGTCTCTTGCCCAGTGAATACACTTGGTGCCTCTGCTGCAAGCCTCTGCTATGTTTTTCTTTATGCTCCCAGCCAGAATCATTATTTTAAATTAATCCTTGGTAAGGTAAAGAATTAATGTAAGAATCTGGAACAGGATGCAGGAGGATGCAGAAACCTCCTAAAGGCACTGTACACTACTATGAAAACTTAATTAATTCACAGTGGTGAATTAACCTCAGAGTGGTGAGGTTTTCTAAGCCTGATACTCACACTGTCTTCCTTTTGACAGTTCTCCAAATAAATACAACAGGAAATATATGCAACAGTGCACACATAACCTCAAAATTTCTGGTCAGATGGATAATACAAAACATCATTTAAGCATGCAAGGACCAAGCACGAGAATGTAAATAAAATCAGGAGGGGGAAAAAAAAAATTAAAAAAAAATCAGACTAATGTTAAGCTTCACTTTTCCTTTGATTCTGTTACTGCTCAGTACAAAACCCCAAGGCCCCACAGAAAAATCTTTCCCCTTTTCTAGTCACTGAGGTGTCTGGTTTAATGGTGAATATGGAGGTAATGCTGGTTGGACTTGATGATCATAGAATACATTTCTAACCTTAACAATTCTGTGATTCTATGTGTTTGAAGGAAAAACTAACTTGTATTTAGTTATTTTGTTTAACACTTTCTGTTAAAGTTGTTCTTAATTATGATGAGTCTCAAATACATGTCTTTTAGCACATGCATGTCTTGGTTACAGCCAAGTATCCCAAACTGAGCACAGGATTCTAGTGAGGACTGAGGGGTTACAGAGAAGAAAATGTTTCAGGTGTTGCATTCAGCATATACATGCTACAAGGAACAGCACTTTTTCCAGCTGTATTACAACTGTTGCTGTATTACAGCATTGCTTGGTATCTCACATATCATAATTGTTCTTCTACTAACTTTTTCTGTGACTTTAGATTTTCTCGTCTTCTACTTTATGTGTAATTCAATCCCTTAACGTAGTTCAAAAACACTGCATTCAGCATGATCCAATTTGAAACATCATAAACATGCAAAAATTACTGAGTTTCAATTAACTGTTGGTACACATATGGGCTGAACCTTCCTCTAAATTTAATAAAATTAAAACAATGATTCAGACACTTTCTACCCTGTCTGCTGAAACCCTATGTGAAACAACACAACACAGCAAAGGTAGCATTTGAATGCTATGCATCAGGAGACCTTAGAAAAAGCAAACAATAAAGAATGCCTTACCATATTTGAGCAAGGATTGAAGATGGCAGACCCGATTGCAAAAAAAAGTTACGTGCTTGATCACCTGTGATAAACAAGGAAAAAAAGACAGACTTTTATACCAGAGACAGATTTTTGAAGAGCTCAGCACTCTCCTGGGGGATCAAGTTTTTGTAAGAAATCCCCATGCTGGATGCCAAGCTCTCCAGGGCTTTTTTTCCAGATTTTAACACTGGTGACAGTGATTATCAGACATCCATTTATTCCATAATTCCCAATCTTTGCTCTGAAAAGTGATTTCAGTTAGCTATAAAAACTTCAACAGGTCACAAATCAACAGCTGCCAACATCTTAAAAGATGCGTGAAATAAAGAATGACTGAAAATTTAGTCCTGCCCCAGTTACTTATGCACGAAAGGATGAGAATGCTGTTTCTTCTCTTCTCTATCCCATCTAACTTGAGCCAGTATTGTGTCTCTAGAAAAACTAGGAAAACACCATGTTCTAAATAATATTCTTTTCTGACAGAGAAGACCTATGATTTCAGTATTTCAAGAAGGAAATAGGAACTATTGTGCAATCCCATACCAAGTTCCTCATCTGTATCTGTATCAATCTGTATACATAATAAAGGGACGGTGGTTTTTATGCCTCCATCTGAGTGAATTACAGACGCTTAAAACTAAGACTTCAGGTCAGGTCTTTCAGCTCTCTTTTGTATTCATAAACAACCTTTTATTTCAAGCATTTGCCAAATAAATAACAAGCCTGCAGATGCAGATGCAGGTAAGAGCCCAGATGTGGCCTAAGGGTAGTCCCTGAGACTGCATAATTTTCAGCTGGAGGTAAACACCAACCTCCCAGTGCTGTTTGACCAAACCAGGAGTTAGGTGCCATTTAGCCGGATGAGCATGTTTCAAACAGACAACTTTCCACTCTCTCCTTAGTTTTTCCAGCCCCCAAAGAGGAAAAGCAGGGCCAGTGGAGCAACTAGATAGGGCATTACTGGATAGCTAGGCATGTAGGAGCAGTTGGGGCTGGTCTTTAGTGCCCACCCACCCATAAGGAACGAGGCATTCTTAAATTAAGACATCTTTGCCAATGAAATTTGGTATTTCTTGATATCAAAAGCAGATTTTAAATTTAAAACCTGCAAATTCTGAGGTGCATAGCAACGTGACCCAATTGTCTCAGAGGAGATGCAGCTGAGTGCAACTGGAACTGACAGCACGCCCTGCAAAATGCCATTTAGTCCACTCAGTCCCTGCTGAACGGACTCAACATCCCAATGGCCCAAATTTCAAGCAGCTGCTAACAAGGACAAGCTGTCAGCATCCCTCTCTCTGCCTCCTCCTCCCAAACAATGGCATCTTACAGCACAGCATTCTCTCCTCAGACTGAGGAGAGCCACTTCTGCTGTGTCTGGTGTCACTTGCCACAACAGCTACTCCAAGTGCTCCCTGGCAGCCGCCCATTTGAGCATGGATTTTGCCTGATATTCCTTGGTTTCTGAAACTAGGCAGAATGGCAGCACACAGCTGGTGGCTGCAGAAGTGGCAGGGTTAAACAGAACAGCATTCCCGTGCCAGACTTCAGAGGAAAGCTTGTTAAGTTTACTAATAACCTGTGGCTGTTGGCCTGAAGAATAGGGTTATTAGTCACACAACAAAGGGCTAGAAATAGGATGCAGTTCTCAAACTGTTCTACAGAGATAGGTATGCAGTACACAGAAGTTAATGTGTAATGCAGAGCCTCAGACTAACCTGTGATGTAACCTCCCGTGGGTTTAAGGCTATCAAACTGCTTGTCATGCTTGGCCCGCTCTTCGGAGGTGATGGCCCATATATTTGGCCCTCCTGGAAAAAAACCCGAAAATGAATAAACAAAAAGCAATGAACAACCAAATAGGCTGAAAACTTTCAAAAATAAAGCACATCACTTGCAAAAGAAAAGCTTGGCTTTCTCAAGAGACAAAGTTAGATGTGGACACACCCAGCTCCTACCAGTTTGGCAAGGACGTTATGCAACACAAACCTGCTTCCCAGATGTGCAAGCCAAGCTGGAGACAATCCCCCAGCCAGACTGCTTCACCCTCGGCTTTTAAACAAACTCTGCTGTCCTTCAAAGCTGGTGTAGAGCAGCTTCCTGTCACTGCTGATTGTTTGCAGCCCGGGCAGGATGTGTCTCACCATCCCCTGTGTGAGCCAAGCACCCCCCTGGCTCACTGATGAACTAATGGCATTCGGCGTCACCCAGGTCCTCATGCACAGGGTTAACACCCTCCTGGTGCCAAAAAGGCTTTCACTTGTCTTGCCAACACTCTAAAAGCAAAATTGGGACTGCTAACAAAAATAATTTGTTTTTGTCTGACAAAGAAGTGACATTTTGGGCTGTTTTTCTTAAATTTCCATTTCACATTTTTCAATACTTTATGAAGTATAAAATATTACAGCCTAACAGCAGGAATGAGAAGTTACAGGGAATAACTGTGTTTACAGAGTTGTGCTGGCAATACCAGGCAGATGGACTGTCAGAAATGCTGCAACCTGCTGCATAAAGGTCAGGGTGTGCATCCTTTGCAGGAAAAGCAGCTTGCCAGAAATAATTTGGTTTGTTTTTTAAGTAGGAGGAAGTTTTAGTCGGGAAGTTCTTGACAAATATTTAATTTTTCAAATCAATGAATGCAAGAATTAGCCAAAATTCTGAATGGAACCACTCAAAACAGTATTGAAAGGTTATTACATGTAAAACATTCTAAAATTACATTCTGCTATTACTACTTCCAAAGAACTGTTAATCTATTCAAGAGTTTGTATTGCTCACTAAAAGAGTCAAGGGAATAAATAATTCTTCTAATAAAATATTAACAGCTTGCTTTAAAAGCCACAGCACTTTGAAAAAAAGTTACCATAAAATGCTTTCTCTTCCTACATAAACCTTATTTCAAAGCTTTGAATCTCCAAAACTTCAAGAGGTTTTTGCACTGTTTTTCAATGTATAACAGCAAAGTTGAAGGGACCATGAGCTGATATACTTGCCAATTGTCATGGGGTGATATCTAAACCACTACACCAATACAGACACAGTAATGATGTTAATCATCTTATCAGTGTTTATCAACATAAAGAAATACATTTTTCTAAAAAGACTTAATTTTTCCTCTTAAGAAGGGCCTGTTAAAACTGTATTTCTCCTTGCATATGTACAGATTTAATTCTTCACCCTTGCTCGCTTAGTAGAGAAATAAAATAGTTAAAAAGACCAAAACAAAACAGAAACTCACTGGGGAGATGTATGACAGAAAAGATGTGAGGGCATTAGGATACAATCTACACACTTGAATTTGGAGTTTTGCTTCTCTCTCTTGAGGATATACCATTTTGTTTTTTACTCTGGCCTCAATGAGAGTCTTCGTGCAGGTTACATATCAAACTGCACTTCAAGAACACCCACCCTTTTTTCCTCTGATTAAATGAGCATAAATAAATTTAGATTAGATACTGATAATAAAGTGAAGTAAATCAGAATCAGATGCCTAGAAGTCAATGGGCACTGCAAGTATTACTGTAAAACACTAATGAGGACAACTTACACCCAACAGCAAAAATTAGAGCAGTACTTAGACTTCTTTAAAGTGTTAATTTTAAGATACAAATGGGAAGTGCATAAAATGTGGTTAGATTACAGAAATTATCTCAACCACATGAAAAAATGCTCCTAAAGCTGCCAGCAGCCACTTCAGATAAATTGACTATTTTTTTCATTTTTGAAAAGCAAAATATTAACAACATTACATTTCCCTTCCATTAAATATTCCTCTTGGAACACCTTTTGAAGCAAGTAGCTGCAACACTCTTCCACATTTTAAAATCAATGACAGAAGGATTAAGACCACCATACTATATTCACATGGTCAGTGGGTGCAAAGTGATAAAAACACAGTAACATTGCTTGACTGGAGTTACGACCATCACCATAGCCCCTCTAGAGAATCCAATTTAACAGTGTAAGGCAACTTTTGTTTATATATTCAGAGTTTCTTGCTTATATGTCACAAGTTAAGCTGGAAGATGGCAATCAGTCTTGCAAATCTAACATATTTCTATATTCAAAGAGTTGTTTTACTAACTGGTAAATTCTATTTCCTCTCCAATTATGAGGTTCAGCATTCTACGCAGCATTGTCTCAAATGTGTTAAAACCTTGCAGGTTAGCAAATCCCCAAATTCACACCTGTAGCTGGATGATGATTAAAATCTCATTCAAAAAGTGATCCAAGATCCACAGTCACTCATTCTCATTTTTACATTCTTTAACACACCCAAGAACATTGCTATTTTTTGCACACTTGATATTTTGCACATTTTACCTCTGGAATGACATCTTTAAAGTCCTTTCTGCTCCATGTTTGTGATTCTAAGATGTAGTCCAACACCTCTGCAAGGAGCAGGAACATCTTCCACTAGCCCAGGCTGCTCAGAGCCTCATCCAACATGGCCTTGAACACTTCCAGGGATGGGGCATCCACAGCTTCTCAGGGCAACCTGTGCCAGGGCTCCACCAACCTTGTAGAAAAATTCTACCTTACATCTATTTGAAATCTACAATTTTAAAATTTAAATCCATCACCCCTTCTATCACAGCAGGTCCTGCTATAGTGTTCCTACCTTTCTTACAGGCCCCCTTCAAGTACTGAAAATGCACAGAAAGGTCTCTCTGGAGCCTTCTCCAGGTTGAACAACCCCAAGTTTCTTGCAAGTATAAACTTTGTTTTTAGAAAGAAATCTTTAGAATCTTTAAAACCACATTATTATATCAGCAAGTGCTTCTACAGCCTTCCACAGTCCTAGTGAGTCAGTGCAAGCAGCTGTCATGGAATAGTGGTAACTACAAACACACATTATCAAAAGCACATTGTGAGAATGTTTCAGGGAACCAAATATACACCCTGAGAACATCAACCTGCCAATAATTTATTTTCAACAGTAAGAAAAAATTCAGATTCTCCCTTTCCCTAAGGACAGAGACTGAGAATCTTAGTTTTCTGGTGATTCATTCCATAAAGATATGCTCTCTGCTGGTTTCTTTTTAGGCATGGAAGAAAATGTAGTAAGTCTTAAAATCCAGTGTATAAAAACATTGATTTTTAATAATATAAATACTCGTAGCAGGAATTAGAATCTAGAGAACAGCACCCCTTTAAGTCAGCACACCTCCCAGTGAAATTTTAGTGCTTGTCTATGGCTGAACAAATGCCCAGAAAATTAAGTTTTATCCTAACATCACTTGAGAGAGTGTCTGTCATCTGCAGCCTGAACTAGAACAAGTCATTGTTTTCTGAATAGAGGTTAATAACTGTTGGACAATGGAAGTATTTGTGTAAAATAAATATTAAAAACCCAGTGCTTCTGGTAGGGATCCACAGTGAAGGCAGTCAAACCCCACCCACACTTATTATTTAAAGGATTCACTGTTTTTTTCAACTCCCACCCCATATGCCACAGAAACTACATAAAGAGCAGAGCACAAGAGGGAAGACTGAACCACTGTGAATGCTTGCATTTAGCTTAACCAGGTGCTCACCGTTCTTTTGATGGTATCCCTGGTGACACAATTAAGAAAAGTAAAATCTGTGTACAGAAAAGTTCATAGGAAGATTTCTCAAAATACCATGTGAAAATACCATAGCAGTCTATCTGAAACAAACACTTCCAACAATGGGACTCACAAGGTCTTGGCAATTCCACAAAGCACATCATGACACCACTCCCCACAGCAATTTTATATACTTGTTATATACTTACAACCAAGACCATCACAGAAACACAGCTAACATTAGTCTGAAATTCAGTTCTCCTGCGCTATCACCATCAAATCATGCTACAGAAAATCATGCTACAATCCTCATAAATGTTGTGATTGCTCCCCAAAACTTCCACAAGTGATAAAAATGGCCAGTCAGTACAACTGCTGAGAAAAGTTACACTGCCTGTTTTACACACAACCATGTCCTGGGCATGCTGAACTGTGATGATCTTCCTTTTCAGGGAAAGGCAAAACTGCAGGAAGAGTCAAACATCTGCTATTCAAGATGTATCATCTAAACTTGTCTGGCTTAGCTCAGCCATGTTTTTGCACTAACATGCCTTCAGTTCCAGTGTTGAGAAACATCTTGCCTGCAAACCAGATCCAATGAATTCTGCATAGAGACATTGCTGCTCTTCTTCTGTCCACACAACCCCAGTCCTCACTCATGGCAAGTCACACATGAATAACAAACCAAACTGCAGGTACCACAGACCTCTCTGACCACAGGATTAGCAAGAGACACAAATCTCCTTGATGGAGCAGTGCTGAACCTTTGGCTGTCCAAGCAGCAGTGAGCTACAATACTTGTACAGATCAGCTCTCCACCAGAAATCAAAATACAGTTGCTACTACATGCTCTGTAGTATGGTCTCAAGAGAGGCTTTGCTGCAGACAATGAATAGTACATTACTTTTCTGACTCAGCTTAAATTTCCTGGAGATTTTTGAGATCTAAATAATTTTTCCCAACTACAACTGATAACATTTTGGAGGGAAAAACGGTATAATGTCTCTGACAAGAAGGTATCTCACTAATTTATTATTCTTCAAAATAGATTACTTTAGGATCTTACAGCTTCATACATGAAGCCAACACTATATTTGACTACCCTACATTTTTAGGAATCAAAGCTCAAGAAATGCTGAACTTGAGAGATTTTCCCAACAAAGACTTTTCCTAGAACAAAGTAAACTACTGTCTTCACCTGCAAAGAAAAGCCAGAAGTCTATCTTAGTAAGATCTCTGGAAGACAGAGGCCAAATTTTCTT